CGAAAAGGCTTAGATAACCAGAAAGTAAATGAGATTTAAATACTGGTTTACGGCATCTAACAATCGGGGAATTTGGTAGTACAGGGGGCTTCATACCCTTACGCATTGTCACAATCAACAATATCACTTTAACAGAAGCTACACTCGAGTCATTTTACGGCGTGTCAGTTCAAAAGCATTTGTACTATTGATATCTGAGGATGCCTATTGTGTTTTCTTTTGATTATTCCAGTTAAAAGTTTGTCATTCATTTACCCAAAAATTCTTTATTTATATAAATAAAAAGAGGTCTTTTTCTTGTTATAACTATGTTGCAAACATCCTAATTGAAAATAAAAACATGTAGATTAACTTGGGAAACATGAGATCATCATGTATTATTGTACAAAAAGTTTTGGAAAATTGCAAGTATTCCAAAACTGAAAATGGCTTTAGTATAAGGCTTACATGATGTTGGGATACAGAAAGTTAAAGCCTTGGGCTACATGTAAAAGCTCAGCAAGGTTGGATAATCCAAGAGGTTTTTCACTGATCAAGTGGTTGGTCACGAGTAGCGCTTGGGTTCAAGAGTAAAGAGAATCAGAGTCATGTTCAACCAAAGAGTGTCCGACCAGAGTTGTCAATCAAGGTGAAATGTTGTTGCTTTTTTGTGCTCAAGATTCGACTGAATTACAAGGATATCGATAAAAGAGAGTTCTCGTTTGAAAAGAAAAATATCCTAAAAAGAACTGCACCATTGCACACATTTTAGGCATAAATATAATCATGACATAAAATGCATGATAATGATAAATACAATTGAGTACTTACAGGTTCTCCAAAATGAAAGGATTGAGATATAAAGACCCAACATAAAAGTAACCAATTAAGATTTGGTGGTGGCAAGACAAGCTCCCACGAGAGCAATCACTTTCCAAAGATTATATGCCCAAGACTTTCAGGTATGATGTTTTCGAATCCTTAAACACATACTAACAAGGGTTAATGTTTAATTTTTAGATTTGATATTCTTTAAGACAAGAGAAGCAAATTCAACTCAATTCAATCTTCCCTGAAGAACAGTGGAATGAATTAACGTCCCCAAATCTGATTTTCCCTCAAGAAAAAGTGAAACATATCTCTCTTTCAAGATTTAATATTCCCTAAGTAACAGTGGAATAAGTCTGCCTCAATTCAATTTTCCCTAAGTAACAGTGGAATGAATCAACGTCCCCAGATTTGATTTTCCCTCAAGAAGAAGCGAAACAGATCCCTCTCTTTCAAGATTTGGTATTCCCTAGGTAACAGTAGAAAAAGTCTGCCTCGATTCAATCTTCCCTGAGTAATAGTGGAATGAATCAACGTCCCCAGATCTGATTTTCCCTCAAGAAAAGTGGAATAAATCCCTTTCTTTCAAGAATTAATATTCCCTGAGTAACAGTGGACCAAGTCTGCCTTGATTCAATCTTCCCTGAAGAACAGTAAAATGAATCAAAGTCCCCAGATTTGATTTTTCCTCAAGAAGAAGCTAAACAGATCCCTCTCTTTCAAGATTTGATCTTCCTTGAATAACATTAGAACAAGTCTACCTCGATTCCATCTTCTTTGAAGAACATTGGAATGAGTCAACGTTTCTTGATCTGATCTACACTGAAGAAACAGTGGATCATATCTCTCATCAGACTTCAAAGCATGGATTCGATCAGACGAAAACTCATTGTCTCTTTGTCTTTGCCCTATTCCCGTTGACACAAAAATGGGCATAAAAGGGCAGTTGTCGACACTCATTTTTGTCCCGACTTTATTATTATTTTTATAATCATTATTATTATTATTATGAGTAATTAATTTTTACAATTATTATAAATAAAATACTAACATATAATGTGTTTTTATATTTTACATATCCAAATTACAAATACAATAGGCCCAATCAGGCCCCAAAACAGTCTGACCCAGATACATCAAACATCCGACCCAAACTCGGAGCCCAATAACCCGACCCAAATGAGACCCAAACCTACTAAGGCTTCATCCTTAGCATCTGGTGTCGCTCGCCATCAACCATTGGATCTGTGGAAGATCCACGGTCCCCATGTATTAATAATTAGGGTTTTGAAACCCCTTTTTACGCAGCTCATTCTGAGTCGTTCGATCGTCCTTCGATCAACGGACTTGATCAAGCCTAGATTAGGGTTTTTACCCCCAATTAGCTATCACTGCGCAGCTCCACCAACAATCTGCCAACACCGCTACCACAAACCATGCACCAAGCCCCCTATCACAATAAAATCCAAGTCAGCAAGCAACCCTAAATCCACACGCAAGAACAATAATCATTCGATTATAAACTTCTTCTTCCCTCTCGATTATTTCCAGAGAAAACAATACAAAGCAAAAAAAAACCTTTTGAAGGTATTTCTTTATTTTATTTTTTACAGTTTCAAAACCATAAGAAATGAAAACAACCTTGCATGTAACAAAAGCGAAGGAGATCGAGTGATACTTGAGAGGGGAGTCGAACCGGGGTAGATTAGTCTTCGTCGGAGATCGCCGGAGCACGTGAGAGCCGAAAGATTGGGGCTCGTTTTAGAGTATTTAGAGGTTTTTAGGCGGTTTTAGCCTAGGGGTATAGATCTAGGTTTTAGGAATTTTTGGGTTCGTTTCAAAGCTCCGACCACCGTGTGCGGAGGCCGGGGCGGAGAAAGGGATTTGAGATAAAAAAAGAAGAAGAAAGGAAATGTTGTTTTAGAATTTCGGTTGAAATGAGAAAAAAAATAAAAAGTTGTATTTATGGAAAAGTTTTAGGGGAAATCACATTGAGGTCCCCTGACTTTAAGCGTGTTTTTGCAAAGCAATCATGTGTACGGACCGTTTTTATAATTTACCCATTTCTGTTTATGCTTTGTAATTTTTGGTTTAATTGTTGTTTAGTCCCCCTAGTTTAGTCATGTTGTGCATGTTGGTCACATGTAGGGATTGTTTTTGTAATTTACCCATTTTTATGCATGTTATATATTATTAGGGTTATTTATTGTTTAGTCCCTGTATATTTATGAGTGTTTTGCATTTTGGTCATGTTTAGTGATTGTTTACTTTTTTTTTAAAATACTTAGACATTGATTTAGTAATTTACCCTTTTTTATTTCGAATGCATATTTTAGGCTAGGAAAATTGGAATATTTAGGAAATGCCCCTGTAGTTTCTGCATGTTTATATTTCGAACCCAAATCTATTTTTTATTTATTTAAATTTGTCCATGCAATTTTAATTTATTTTAATTTAGCCCCATGTTTTATTTATTTTTTATATTTTGTAATTTTAGCACCCAATATTAAGCATGCTCATTTTAGTCACTTTTATACTTTATTTTATTTTAATTTTGACATGATGGTTTGATTGTTTATGTTTTAGTCCCTTTTTATTTTATTTTAATTTTTTTCATGTTGCTTGCATGTTAGTTCATTTTAGTCCTTAATTAATTTTGCATGTTACCCTCATAAGCATATCTTGACTCGAATATAAATTAATTGACTAAGGGTAATATTCGTTCATTTTAACATTGTCGTAAAGTGACTGTCTTAAAGTATAAGAAAGTTACTTTCGATAATTTTAAAATGAAAGTCTATCTCATTTATTGAAACAAATTAAATCGAATTCATTTTAAAATTCAAAGATTGGGGAAAAGATCATGTTCTTTTAATTAAATTCATTGAGAAAAGATTGTTAGATCGAATCTAAGGTATCATTTTGTGATATTTAAATAATTGAACATTCTTATTCTCATTAAATATTGGTAAAATAAATAATTAATTATACTTGCTTGATAAATGCTTTTAATTTGCTTTATTTTTGCATGTGTTTTCCGATGGGTTTTCGAAATAATAACACTCAAATCAAATCGAAATTGAGAATAGTAAATATATTTTCATTTTGGTTGGAGTTATAAACGACTGCTCTAAGGCATGAGATGTCATTTATTCTCGATTGAAAATAATTCGATATTATCATTCTCTCTCGAATTAATATTGATTTTTAAGATGGAATAGTGACATCTCTTCATTTCGATTGGAGCAATAAATGAATGCTTTAAGGAATGAGATGTCATTTATTCTCGATTGGAAATCATTAGATATTATCGTTTTCACTCGAATCGATATTGAATTTTAATACGGAATAGTGATATCTCTTCATTTCGATCGGAGTAATAAATGATTGTTTTAAGGCATGAAAGGTCATTTATTTTCGATTGAAAATTTTTATTATTATCATTTTCTCTCTTAAAATTATTTTGGGTGTTGTTATTTTGAATTAATAATGAACTTTAGAATATAACTTTGAATATTTCTTTATTTTGATTGGAGTAAGAATCGATTGCTTTGAGACATGAGAGATCGATTCTTCTTGATAGAAAATAATTAAATATTATCATGTTTCATCCAAAAATTCAAAGAATATTATTTTTAGGGGATCTTAAATTAAATTAGACTCGAACTCGTAAATTTCATTGCAAAGACAACTAATTAATCGACTAGGTACCGATTTAGGGCGATGTGCGAGTGCTAATCATTCCCCACTCGTAACCAACTCTCGAACTCAAATTTTGGTAATGCATACCGCAAGTTTGTTGTTTTAATTAAATTTAATATTTTATTAAAATGACAAAGTGTTCAATCACACCCTAATCAAATATTGATTGTGACTCCTCGAACCACGTTTTATCATTAACGAGTCATCAAAAATAATTTCGAAACGAGAACTTTTTTTCCTTTCGGAAAACCGTTTCGACATTTATATAATAAAATGTAAATTAAGAGTGTCTTTGTCTAGTTATATAATGATTTGAATAGAAACTAATTTTTTTAGTCGAATAAGACCATAAAATTGATTATTTTTAAAAAATAATTTTTCATCTAAAATTTATATTTATTAAAAAATGAAAATATTCAGTTTTCCTAACTTAGCAGAGGTAAATCTGTAAAGAAAATAAAAATAATATTTGAAGAATTTATCTAATTTTCTCAAACGGTTGAAATGATATCTAAGGATATTCCAAGGGGCGACCCATTTTGTTCTTCTAGAATGACGAGCAAGTTGTCTTTGGGTTTGAGGAATGAGCCCGGTACATGATACCTATATACAACACACACACAAATTTTAATAATATATTAGTATATAGTTTACTTATTTCATTTTGACAAAAATATAACAATGAAATCAGAGATGGACTTAGAAGGAGACAGTCGTTAGCTAAATATTTTAAATTCCTATGTAATTCAGATATTTTCTTTGTATTTTTTTTTTGTTGAAAATATTTTTTTTTTTATAAGTTTGTCTCCATGTAACATAAAATTTTATGTTCATCCCTTTAATGAAAGTGTAGTGATGTTAAAGCAATTTAATTTTACACATTTGTAAAATATTTTACAAGATTTTTTTAATTCAACTATCATATTTTGTATTCTATTGTGTATATTGAATAAATTTAAAATGTAAAACTATTAATTTGAAGTAAAATATTTGAACTGTTAAATATACATATTAAAAATAATATTATGATATCAATAATCAGTTGGTCTAGTGGGATGACGCATTATATCCTTTAAGCAAAGTTAGGGGTTCGATTCCTAGCGCTTGTTAATCGGGTATTGCAAAGGAATTGACGACTCTCACAACCCAATTAGCTCCTTTCGCAAACGTCAGTATTCAAACTTCTGACATTGCTTAAGGGATCTAGTGTCTTATCATACTAGATCAACTAGTTGTTGGTAACAATAATTATATTATTAAATCTAATGACAAATTAGTTAAAATGTGAATCTACTAAAAATTATGAAAGTACATGCAAACTAATTTAGTTTAAAATTATATATGGTTAATATTATTAAATATTAAGCTTAGGTATATATTTATAATAAAAGAGAATTGAGATGGATTTACCAAGTTTGATAAGGCGATCCTTGAGGGGTAAGAAATGAAGCCCAATATCTGCCTATGCTTTGTCCATTAACCCATACTTCACCTTTTCCCATTGACCTAAGATTTAATCCAAGCGATACGTTCTCTGCCGGCGCATCAAATCTAGTCTGTGTCACATTTTTCCAATTTTAATATCAATGGTTCTATTCGAAGTTTCAATAATCAAATTTTACAAATTGTATTTATTTTTCAAGGTTCTTTTAATAAGAAGTGGATTTATGTGTAAATTGAAAAAACATTTATATATATATATATATATATATATACCTTGTACCATGTAAGGGGATTGCGAGAAGAACTCAAAGTTGTCCATTGAACTTTGCTTGGGCTTTGGTCCGTATATATTTGTAATTTCTCTCCTATTAGTCCAATCTATACAAATCACAGTGTTAACCCAAATGCAGACTGTATACGGACCAAAAATTGGAATACTGGTATAAATTAAAGATGCAAAGTAATAAAATAAGGGGTAAAGTATACAAATGGTCTCCGATTATAGGATATTATTTTATTGAGTCCCTCGATTATTAAAAGTTACAAAATGATCCTCCGACTATAGGGAGTTGCTTTGTTGAGTCCCTCGACTATTAAAAGTTACAAAATGGTCACCTCACTATTCATTATATTCCAAACTCGTCCCTTTTTCGTTAAAAAATTGACGGCAATCTGAGTTAAATGTTAACTTGCTGAGTAAGATATGATAAAATATGATCTCATAATCTTAAACGACTGTCATAGTCAGGGGACTCAACAAAACAACTCCCTATAGTCGAGGGACCATTTTATTAGTAATAGTTGAGGGACTCAACAAAATAATATCTTATAGTTGAGGGATCATTTGTGTACTTTATCCTAAATTTAAATAAAAAATTCTTTCTTAATATTAAAATTAAATTAAAATTAGTGTTAGATTGAAATAGGGAGGATAAGAGTACCTGATAACCCCACCGATAATTGGTCAAATCTGAAGACTTTTGTATGTCATGAATCTTTACCCTCCGTAACCCCGCTGCCCTTCTCTCTAAATAGGCCCCTGAATCCTTTACATCAAATGCCAAACTTTAGAAATAAAAAATGCTGCCCTTCTCTCTAAATGGTATGTTAATTCTTAAAATTGTATATCATTATTATTTTGGTATATAATTTTTTTGTTTAATTTGATCTTTAGAATTTTCAACTATGATATATATTTTCCTATATTTTTTTGTTACAAAGTCTTTCCTGTGACGCTGTGTCATGTGAAACATAAATAATGATAATCTGGGATGGATCTAGAAGAGAATGGGTGGATACAGTTGTCTTTTCTAAAATTTCAAATTATTAAATATTTTAGATTTTTTTTTTTTTTTGCATTTTCTATTGAAAATATATTTTTACCTCTTAAAATATTTATAAATTTTTCATACTTAAAGTTTTATAAGTTTATCTCTTTTAACATAAAATCATGTATATATCCCTATTATAATGAATTGAGATATAAAAGATAAGAGGCTTACCCGTAAACCAACCGTGACACTTAAAAGGGAGATGTTGTTACTGCCATTGGTTAATGGAATTGTGTTCTCTAGCCTGAAGTTTGGCCTCTTATGATTTCCATGTGCGGATCCTAACACATTTAACATCCACTTTATGCTTATTAACCACAAAACAAGACAGCGAATCATGTCTGAAATACAAGTCTTTTAATTTATCTGTTTGCAGAAGAATAAATTAAAGTAGAAAGTAGACGTACCAACTAAAACACCATCGACAAATGCATGCAAAACATGCCCAGCCGACTGCACCTTAAGCACTGCTTTACTGTTTGATGATTCATGTTGATAACTGAAATTAAACATTAAGAAATTAGGAGTATTTAAAATTTAAGAGTACTTAAAATTTAAGAAATTAAGGGAAAGAATACCTGAAAGTGTACCAAAGATAATCTGACTTGTCTTTCGTTGTATTCATATGCTCTAACAATTTATTGGATCTCATCGATGTCACTACGAACTTAGGAATGGGGTCTCTGAACTCCTCCCACATTTCAGGTTCATCGAACTTTTTACTTGTTGTTATCAATCTTGTATTATTTTCTACATTTATCTGGATTTTATTTTGAAGTTCAACATACAATTAAATATAAGTATATTTATATAAAGATCTTCTAAAAATAAAAAATTTAAAGATGTGAATATGAACAATGATACATATTTAGACATAAATATATACATATATTTTTTTTTAAAAATTTATCTAAACACATAAAAAATTATAGAATATTAAAGAAATTTATATAAGTATAATACTCATATCTAAAAAAAATTAAATAAAAAAATTTTAAGCTTGCCTTGGCGGTGTTGAAAGCTACATTCTTGCAATCAGGCAAAATGCTAACTGAGTTTGGACTGAGCTCATACGAAAAATTCCGAAATCTCACAACAACAGTTTTCGTATCGTCACGGTTCACTAGAAAAGCAGCACATTCTCCTGAATTTCGTCGGTAAATGTAGCCCTACATAAAACAATTTGATTTTTTTTAATAAACCAAAAATAAAGACGGAAATACTATCAACTTTTTCATTTAAATTATAATTTAATAATTATATAAATAGTGCATATTATCAAATCAAGGTAAGAAAATGGCCTAAAAAAGAAATTTAAAAAAATTCTGAACACAATTTAATTTGACTTGATTTATCGATAAATCTAAAGATATTTAAATAGTTACTATAAATAATAACCGATAAATTTTAATCAATTTATTATTACCATTTGTTTTTCACCCAGAGAGAGTGTAGATTGAGCTCCAAACAATATAGGACTTGAACAAGACTTAATTGCTTCGTTCAGTTGCTTCAAATGGCCCCATTTTGGTTGCCTAATAAAACCTACAACGACCGTGTGAGCTCACTAGATGGATTTATATACCTTTTTAAGTAACAGTGTACAAGAGAACTTATAAGAATAAACATAAAATATGTATCATGTTTCAAGTGTACATGTGAATCAAAAGTGTAAGACATACCATACTCGTCGAGGGGGGCATCATCATAGTAACTTGTCGTTGTGAATGCAGAGGCCGTTCTCCCAAAGTTAGTTCCACCATGATACTGATAATTGAGACAAGATAAACAAAACAATGTTGCATGTAATTATAAATATATATACACACGTTGCAAGGAAGTATGATATATAAATATCAATTGTGAATACCATATAATAATTTACTAAGGTCCCATTCCTTGCAACAAAAAGAGCAACTTGAAAAGCAATATCTTGGGGAGATCTTGTGATTGGATCTTCACCGTAAGCTTGATACCTTTCAGTGGAAGTAATGACATCGGCAATTAGAAATAAGATATAATTCATATTTTAGATGACATTAATTTAATAAGTCTCAATTCGTATAACAAACATACTGAGTAGTCCAATTTTCTGTCCAAAGCCATGGCTTGTTTGGTGAATTAGGCCCCGGAAATGACTCCCCACATTTCATCCCATTGCAAGTGTTGATCTACACACAAACCAAGTGTATCAAATTGTAATATATTTACAAAGATCTCAATTTTTTTAGAAGAAGAAAATGGCGAGGGGAGTAAATTACAATAGGATCAGGAGCATCAAATTGTTTGCACATCATCCAGGGAACCCCGGTTTGAAGTTCAACGGCCATTTGTGCTGCCCATTTCACATACGGAGGTCCTTTCTCATGGAATGCATCTTCCACTAATTGGTACTCATTCTCGATCTACATTTTATTTTAACGATAATTAAATGAGTATTACTATTCGAATCGATTTTTTTTAAAATTTTCGGTTTAGCCTTACCTGTGATAGTATGATCGGTCCGCCTTGTGAAGCATATAGGCTTTCTGATTTCATCATGTTTACTATTTTTGTGGTTAAATTTTGCATGTGCATCTGTACGACGTACATGAATCGTGCATCAGCCAATGTATTGAAAAAGTATACCCCCCCACCCCACACACACACACGGAAAAAACTTAAGAAATAATGCACCTTAAAAGGTTCATTGTCACATCTGTAAACAATGCCTGGGACGTCATGCAACCAGAAAGGTAATCCCCTGCAAAATTTAACATCGAATCAAGTTAGTTCCCGATCAACATACCCAGCCCAAGACTATCCATTCGCCAAAAGCCTGTTGGCCAAGATCTAGAGGCTCAAACATCGATGAGCCTAAGAATACGTATCATTTAATCTAGCACATCACAAATTGCGGCCCGATCTACATGGGATACTCACATGGCATGAGGTCACCAACCACGAGGCACGGTCTCCTATGCCTTTAACATAGTGCACGTCTATATCAATCAACAAAATGTTTAGCTAACTGTTCCTAAATCGGTTGTTTAGGTTTATTTATTAAGTTAAATAAATAAGTATGAATATAATTTTTATTTTCATTTATCAAATAAAGGAACATGAATAAATGTATTTTGATTCATTTATGTTTATAAATTAACTCATTTATTGATTTATTTATAAGCTCGTTTACTTAATTTTCATTTTTCTTTTTTACATTTTAAATATCGGTGAAGATGAACATAACTAAATGAACTGAACATGTATACCTTAAAAAGAAAATAAATGAGCACGAACATGATATTAAAAAATTTAATCGAAGATGGATAAAATTTTGTTCGTTCAAGCCCGGTTTATTTATATCCCTACTTAGACGTAGCCCGATCGCGGCTCATTACGTAATTTAATTGTCTCTACGAGGAGTAGCTCTCTCACCAAGAGCTACTCAGGTAAATTCATGGTCAGCAATATATAGAAAAATAAGTAGGTGTTTACCCGTAATTCCATTCGGCTTCAATGAAGGGACCGATCCTGAGACTTGCATATAAGCCTTGTGCTTGGATTTCCTTAATGAATCTAACAATGTCTGCTCTTCCACTGAAATCATACTGCAAATTACCCAACCAATATGCTATTATCTAATGACCAAATCGAAATTACAAAAAACAGAGGGTTTCATATACGAAAAAAATAACACCTGGCCTTGTACAGGCTCATGTAGGCTCCAAAACACGTATGTTTGTATCACATCTATTCCTCCCTCCTTTGCTTTCTCTATTAATCCTGCCCACATCTGCAACACACCTCATTTAGTCAAAGTCTAATTTTTAATTATATTTTTTTTGACATTTTTATCAATAATAAATTTTAAATAATAGTAAAATTAAAATGATTTTTTTAAAAATAATAAGAAGAAATTATTTTAATGAGACTTAAGGAATACTTAATTACTAATAGTTATTTTTAATAAAAATATATTATTTATTTGATAATTTCTAATTGATTTAGTACAAGATTAATTGATAATATTAAATTTAAATAATAGTACAGACAACGGTGGAATATAACGAAGACTAGTGGGGCCATGCCCCCCAAAATTTGAAAATTTATACTGTAGACCTTTAAAATTTCAAATTGTCTCCCATAAAATTTTTAGAAATTCATATTAATTTTTAAAATTTTTGAATATTCTTAATTAAACCCCTCTCATAATTTTAAAAAATTCTCATTAAACCTTTCAAAATTTTAAAATTTTAGTTAGATCCCAATTTTTTTGAGAAAATATAAATTTAACCTTTTAAAATTTTTGAAAATTTTAATATAACATCTAAACTTTTTAAAATTTTAAGTTGAACCCCAAACTCTATCACTAAGTTCCACCACTTAGCATAGATACGGTAGATACGGTAAAAAGATTAATACTCCATTTTTTAGAACAAAAGATATAATGTATTGGGTGAAGAACATGTGATTTGAAAACTTGCCGGTTTCTCAAATCTCTTTCCCGAAATTCTGATTTTCATGATCAAATAAATAAAATAAAAAAGGCCACAAGCATAGTGAAGAAATGGAATGGTAGATTTGATTATTAAATAAATAAATAAATGAAATTAAACGTAGCATGTACTCCAAACATAAGAGTTCTCTTCGAAGCAATAGTTTCCAATATCGTAAGAATTAATATTTCTCAAAAAGTTCTTCGCTAATTCAACAAGAAAGCTTGACGAGAAGAGGTCAACTCAATTTCTAAACGTTAATTTTAATAACAAAAGAAAAAACTTTTAATTAAGAAATTATTTTATTAAGAAAATTACACTTGAATCTCTAAACGTTTATGAAAAGAGGTAACCTACGAAGGAAATGGAGGAAGCAAAGAGTATATAATATACCTGAGGAGTGCTTCGAGGATAATGTATAGAAGCAGAGAACAAAAGCTTTCGTTGTCCTTGAATTATCAACGATCTGCCATCGTAACTCACTTCTCCTCCTTCAACCGCAATACCTACTATGATTAATGCAGCTAACCCTAACGCCAACAGTGCCCTTTGCTCCATCGATGCCTAAACATTAACGGAGGACCAAACCTCTCTTCTCTCTAGCTTCTGCAGTTTCCTCAAGCACATCTCAACTTCACAGTTGGTGCCCCTTGTAATATAAAAGGTAATCATAAATTTAATCATTGGGATTAGAGACGTGTCATATTAAATATATATGTAGCTTAAAAAGGCAGCCCATTAATGGGGTTTTTAATTTGTATCAAATACTAATAGATTGGTTCAAGTAGTAATCAGCTTTATATTGTTTAAGTCGGTATTGAGTTCGAGTCTTTGTATATTTATAAAATCTTCGTTGGAATACTCACCCACTAAAACTATATATGTAACCCAAACCGGTCCGGATTAATCAAGGCAAAACCTTAGAAATTAGAAGGGCAACAATAAAAAATTATCTGATCAATATGTTTAATTTTAATTTTTAATGATTTTTAGAAGTTTTTTTAATATTTTATAGCGTATGTACCAATAATGACAGCAAGACTGCTGTTTATTGTAATAACTAAATATTTTTACTTCACATTAAATCTGAATATTAGTATTTAAATTTATTATTTATAATAGTAAAGTGAATTTTATGAAAATGCAAAAGACAGCTGTAAGAGGTTTAGAAGGCGGCATAAATGAAGCGTAAATCCAGTGATTGCATAGAGGATGACGAAGCAATGAGAAATAAAGAAGCTTTGATTGGGCCGTCTGCATGTGAAATTCCTTGTCTCATGCAATTTCGTTGAGACGCGAAATGCACATGATTCAACTTCCTCCTCACTCTCGGTTCCACTGAAACCCTAACTTTTTCTTCTTCTTTTTTGTGTCCTTCTAGTTTCCGAAACTTCTGTCTTAAATAATTTGGATTGATTCAGGTTGTAGATCTAGTTTTGGTGAGTGAGTCTCCAAACCAAAATATTTTACATACACAATGACTTGAACTTGAGACTTACTTAAACGATATCAAGCTGTTTACCACTTGAATCAGCCCCGTGAAACCATCACTTTATTTACCAAATATTAATAAAATTAATTTTGCATGTTAATGTGCAGGTTCTAGGCAGTCAATTTTGCATGGGATGTTTAAAATAATAATTTAATTGAAGTGAATTTCTTTAAATTAATTTTTAATAGACTTAGACTTGGGTTTATTATTGGGTCGTAAATTAATTTTTAGGTTTTAGTTGGGCCTCAATTTTCAATATGATCTCTACTTATATTAATCTAATATGGTACTAAACCCAAATGCCGTTAAATAGGAGTGAAGACATGGGTTTGTCCAACAACGCACCTATACACACTATTACCAAATTTGTTTTGAAATTGATGCATGGATTTAATTGGATTTCTCATAATTGTTCATTAATGGAACATTATTTATTAGGGTTCTAAATAAAACAAGACATGTCACGAATTATTTAAGTTCGATTTGATTAAAATTTAGTCAATGTTCAAATCAAGTGGACTCGATTCAAATTCTTAATGAGTTATAGTGAATTATTTGGTACCTGAAAAGTTCACAATCAAGTTGAATGCAAAGACTTTTAGAGAAAATAATATTCTCTTTTACTATTAAAGTCATTTGATGAGTTCTTAATGTCACTTTTAATTAATAAGATATTAAAACTATGATAATGCATGAACTAAGTTATCTCAATGACTAAAAGAATAATTATTATCTCTAAAAATTCCAAATTTAAACACAAAACACTATAAGAATAATTAAAATTTTATTATTATATAATTAATAATCTTTAAAACATATACCATTTTCAATGAGAAATAAGGTTAAACATCAATACTCGTCAACCTTATCTTTAATATCTATCGATTCCTGTGAAATATGAATGAGGCGGTCATTTGCATGAAGTCGGTAATGTCAATGCCATTAATGTGAGCATGAATGGTCAAATTGTTTGAACATAATGAATTGTGATCTAATTTGATAAAATCAATTTTTTTAATTTAAGTTTAAGAGGTCGGACATAAATTTTGGAAATATCATAATTTTAATATTTTAATAATTAAAAGTGATATTAAAAATTATCAAATGATCTTAATGATAAAAGAGAATATTATTTTTTAAAAGTTTTAGGTTTAAACAACTTTATCTGTAGAATGTTCACATTATTAATTGATTAAGAAAATTCAAACGCAACCTGAATAATTATTATAACTTTATATATATTCAATTATATTTTATTAGAAAAATTATTTATATTCAATTGAAAAAAATTTTATCTAAAATTGATTTAATAATTTATTAAATGATTACAAATTTATTTATCATTGAGACTTTAAGTTAGGACAATTATATTTATAGGATGTAAATTATTAATATGTCAAAAAATTATGAATAAACATTATATTGTAATTATGGTAGATTATTTAGAAAGATAAAAATTAAATAAATGAATAAAAACTGACATGGCATCCCCATCCGCAGATGGGAGTAAAATAATTGCAAAGGAATGGTTGATGTTGGGTTATGTGCTAGATAAAGTAATTACTGCTCTGGACGAAAGCAGATGAACTCATTTACTGCTTTTCCAACCACCCACCTTACCTCTCTTATTTAACACCTTCTCCACTCCCCTAGCCCTCACTGAACTGATCTCCTTTCTCTGTCTTTGTTCTGATCTCAAGTTTCTTCATAGAAAAAGCTTCAAGCTTGGCAATGGTGTTTGGGAACTTATGGACGTATTTCATAGTTGTTTGCCTAAGTACGGCGTTGAGCAATGTGGTTTTAGGGCATGGACCAAACCCTTTCTTGCCTGATGGCCGTGGGAGAAGAAGAGAAATGGTGCCTGCCATGTTCATATTTGGAGATTCTCTCATCGATAATGGCAACAACAATGACCTTCCTTCTTTTGCAAAGGCTAACTATTTCCCTTACGGGATCGACTTCAATGGCGGTCCTTCTGGTCGTTTCTCCAATGGCTATACCATGGTTGACGAAATTGGTCTGTCAGTAAACACTCTTTTATCTCTCCATTTCCCAGTTTTGTTTTCCATTTAAAACCAATTGTAGGTAATAATGTATGTGCATGAACATGCAGCTGAGCTGCTAGGGCTACCATTGATTCCGGCGTTTTCCGAAGCTGCCGGCGACCAAGTTCTTCATGGTATCAACTACGCCTCCACGGCTTCCGGCATCCTAGACATCACCGGAAGAAACTTTGTAAGCATTTCTCCTATACATGCATGATGGAATCATAAATGCAGTTTCACTCATGGAAGTTCAACCCTTACGTCTATTATCTGTTGCCTATTAATATCCAAATCTGTACAAACCTTTAATGTCTACCATCTTTTTCTTGGAAATAGAGCTTGCAGCATCGTGCAAAAATTACATGAAGTTAAAGTAAAATATAAGAATAAAAGCATAATTTTTTTGTTAAAGGTTGAACTTATAATATTATAATTGATGATAAATTTATAAAATTTTAGAAGTAAAAATAACTTTGTAATATAAAATACATAAAAAAAATTTAATATATATATATATATATATATGATAATTTTAAATTTTCCCCATATTTTCTATTTTTGATTTATTTTGTTTATTGTATTGTTCAGGTGGGTCGAATACCATTTGATCAACAAATTCGAAATTTCCAGACCACATTGGATCAAATTACGGACAATCTGGGTGCAATCGATGCAGCAGAAGCACTGGCTAAATGCATTTTCTTTGTTGGAATGGGAAGCAATGACTACCTCAACAACTACCTGATGCCAAATTATCCCACCCGAAATCAGTACAATGGTCAACAGTTTGCTGATCTCTTGGTTCAAAAATATACTCAGCAACTCAGAGTATGTTAACCACTTCTTTTGTCGACTAGCTATATCTTATTTAAATAGAAAATATCTAAGACATTTAATTAAATAATCACTTTAATCTTTAATTAATTTTTTGAGATTTTAGTCCATAATATTTCAGTTTTAGATAAAATGTATTTTGATTAAATAAAAATCACTAATTAACTAATGATAAAAAAAGATTGCTTATATGATAAGTTTGATAGGTCTAAAATAATAATGTGACATATATTATATATTTAAAAAGATGATGTGATATATATGACGTGTCAAAAATAATAATGTGTCACACGTCACGTATCAAAAATAATGATAAAATTTATCATGTTATTAGTTTTGATACATAAGATTTACCACCTCAATGATAATTTTTTATCATCAGGTAATTAACAATTTTCATTTAACCATATTACATTTTTGCCGTAATACATTTGAGAACTTTTGAAACCGTATATTCGAAATTTAGTCGGTTTGTGGATGCGCAGAGACTTTACAATATGGGAGCACGTAAGTTTGTGGTAACAGGGCTAGGAAGAATGGGGTGTATTCCAAGCATTTTAGCACAAAGCAATTCGGGACGCTGCTCGGAAGAAGTGAATAAGCTCATCCTACCTTTCAATGCCAACGTTAAGAAGATGCTGAATAGCCTCAATGCTAACCTGCCGGGGGCCAGGTTTATCTATATTGACGTCGCTCGCCTCTTCGAAGATATGATCGGCAATGCTAGATCGTATGGATTCAGGGTGGTGAACCGAGGGTGTTGCGGCATCGGGCGGAACCGAGGGCAAATAACGTGCCTTCCGCTCCAGACACCGTGCAATAACAGAGATGAATATGTGTTTTGGGATGCATTCCATCCCACTGAAAAGGTTAACATCTTAATGGCCAGGAAGGCATTCAGTGGCGATCGTTCCATCGTTTATCCCATCAACATTCAGCAGCTTGCCAAACTTTGACCTTTAAACCAATCAAATTAATTACTACTGTATCAGCTTTTACATGTACTATGATTTATTTCCCGTTTGATTAGAAACAAACAATGCGTTTTGGCTTTCTTTCACTGCTACTACTTCAGTACCTACTTTAATTCTTAGCATAGAGTAACTTAGTAATGTTGGATACAATAACAGAATAACAAGAAAAATAATTAAATTAATCTCAATTTAAATTGTTAAAATAGATGTAAAAAAGATATCCATAATTTCACGTAAACGAATTATATAAATAATAAATATACAGTGTATTTAGCTGTAAGAAAATCGCTTTTGCTAAACTCCTTGCAGAACCGTCTACGAAGTAGGGTTTCTCACTTTCTTCCCAATCCCCAACGTTGGCACGATATTTGAGATAGTTTGGATAAGATTATTTAGATCTGAAAAAAAAACATATAATTGAGAAAGAAAGAAAAAAAGGTCAAGTCTTGACTCTAAAATTCAAAATTTTAACCCAACCCGGCCTATTATTAATTTGTTTCGTATTTTATATTATTCTCATATTTCATAATTTATATAACATAAATTAAACGTATATAGAATATGGACCGCGTATTAGTTTAACTGATATTTTTATAGACGGAAGATTTAAATGCAGTTAAATATAAGTATCTTTCATTAAGGGTTTGAAGAATTAAGACTAATTTAGGTGAACTTACAAAGGGAGTTCCGTGGTCCAAATTAGTATTGTTCTTTCTAAAAATTTTAGATTCGAGCATTTGTTTCTTCCGGGTGTATATACATTATCAATAGTTAAGAAAGATTTTGAATAAATACTATTTTATAATCATCCTAGACTATTAACAAAAGTAATTTAGGTATTTTTTTAAAAAGATATAATATGTAATGTAAAAGTATACTAGATTATTATCAAGTATTTGGATCAATCAACACGTAATTATTCTAATTTAACCATAATTTTGAACCCCATTTTTTTTAATGATATGGTCTTAAAAATACATCGTTAAGTATTTGATAGAAGAATTTTACTACCCTTATGATCGATCATACACGATCTAACAAGATTAGTCTTTACTTGGATTTTGTTAAAACAAATATGTGAGGAGCACCGGCGATTAAAAAAATGTTAATTTATTCATACTTTTTAAAATATAATCTAAAAATATATAAAATCCCTAAACAATAATTACAAAATAACATTTTCAAAATTTTATAGAAAAAAACATAATATAATTGAGCCTGATCATATTACAACTACCTTTTTACAAATATAATGAGTGGACAAAAACAAAAACTATACTTGTAACCGAAGTTGAACAAATATATAAATGTCGTATATACTAAATTTATATCCTAACTCAACTCGGCCTAACAGCTACACTCCGATAAGACATCTATTGTTCCAAGATGGTCCCTCAGCATACACTGTTTTTGTAATTCTTAAACTTTTCTTAGCATATATATTTTAGTGTCCGGTCAAAAGGAAGTCCAGATATTTGAGTGGATAACTAAATCCAGAGATAATGGCTTAGACAAATTTCCATTGTTCTAATTGGATTAAATTTGAGTCGAATCAAATATCAGATAAATCTTAAGAGCTTGGATGGATAACTCAGTACAATGCTACTAGAAGCTGATTCATGATCAATAGTTGGTATCTTGGCGCACAGTTTTGAAGATCTTAATAAATATAACTGAGAATATAATAAATCTACAGTTTAGCAAGAAAGATTGAGAGTTGCATTTTCCATGTCTCTGCTGTTACTCCTGGGATTTTAGATACCCTAACCACACAAAGGAATCAAATCATAAAATTCAGTTTCAGATTTTACTAATTCTTTCATCTCTTTAACGAACGCGAGGAGCCTTTTCTTCCTGTCCCAACCCGAGTGATTTCTGTGCATTTGCAATACCTTCAGGATCTGCAACACCACAAATCCACAAGGTTAGAATTATGATGTTTACTAAGAGTGCATAGCTTCAAAGAAATTGATGACCATCGACTGCCGGAGGAGCTTTCTAGGCCATTGCAAAGATAATTGGAATTTCTTACCATGACTTTTCATTTTTGTTGAAGTATTTGTATCTATCTATCTTATATGCATACATCGCCATATGGATAAGACGTTTCAAATATACTCGTGTCGGACATATTCCATGTCCAACTCGAATTCTTGCACGGTAATTAAGAATTTCTAATGTCCAGGGGTGGAACTAAACTATGCCGTAAGCTACCAATCAAAAACATTAGACTCAGACTTGGAAGAGACATTTGTGATTAAAAAGAGTAGGAATCGTGTCTCTAGACCAATATGACCTAAAATCTATGTTACTCAGACTAGAGTGTTAGCGTCATACATGAGTATGTGTTCAATATGGATATATATTCAATTTTTCATCCAACTGTTACATGTATTTGGAGGGATCTTGGTGAGTCATACATGCCTGTATATGTGTTGGACACATATATGAGTGTTAAGACATGAGTACCTCAAAGCAAAATGAAGAAAAGGATGGGAATCCAAGACAACCTTGATACAGAGCATAATTTATCGATATTAATGTTCAATACTTGAGTTACCAATTACTTATTTGCAAATAAAAATTCTCACCAAAAAACTGAGTGAATATGCGCCTGAAGAAGCTCAAGTTGAGAGAAACATTGTACGCCATTGCAGGTGGAAGAGGCTTCAGAACAGTGTCTATGCTAAAAACTCATTGCAGAAACTGTATGAGCATGGAAATATTAGAATACTCATCTAACAGGAGAATGAACAATACTCAATAGCATATAGAAGACATAAACAAAAAATAGACAGCGGCATTTAGACTTATAAGCTACTAAAATGGAAGTTTGGATATGCAGCAAACAGTTATTTGTTTAAACAACAGTGTCGGACTGTAATTAAGCAAATAGCACAGTATATATTAACTAATTCAGTGATATTAATGATTACCAAGAACAATCATTCTTTTAAGTTTTACCATCAAAATTTCTCCAAAAGTCTATAATTGAAGTAAACTTCTATGATAATTGCCTTTTGCTTGCACCAAGGTCAATTAAACAACACACTTTTGACATGCAATAGATGATACACAATAAGGCCCTAGGAATCCTTTTATTATAATTACCTACTTTAGGAATCTTTTTCTTCCTCTTTGATGATTTCATTTTCAGTTGCTTTAAGCAACTTAAATGCATCCAAGTAACCCTTGAATTATTGATTTTATATTATTGGCAAGTAGAAAATGAATAAATTTTTAGAATACTGAATTCTGAAAAGAAACAAACAAATGCATGAAGAGGTTGACGTTTTGAGCTGCAACATAATCATGAATGAAACATCAGAAAACATGGATATTGAAGAACCCCTAAAAGATTCTCAACTCGGATTGAAAAATGATGAATTATGTCAAAGTAATTTGACAGTAACATGATAAGCAAATATAATTTACAAACACAGAATGAAGCGAAGGAGAAAATGATCTGGAAGTGGCGCTGGAAGCTGTAACGGAGTTCAGGGTCAATCTCGAGGGTGTCATCGTCGTCAATTTGGGAAAAGGCGGACTTGCGGCGAGGGACGTGTATTTTGGCGGTGGAGCCCGGCTGATTGGTAACCTTAGCTTGGCATCGGCGAACTTGTCTTGGTCTTCTTCGACCCTCCATGGCGCTTTGCTTAGCAACTCTCTCTTTGGATTTCCCATGAATGGCCGGTGCTCAATTTCCCTGCTCTATTTCCTTCCTTATTCCAGGTTTATAGGCAAAATAAGATGAGGTCTTCTGTTTGGTTGCAAAAGCAACGCTTTCCTGTTACGGTTAAAAAATGAAACCGGTTTTCGAGGTAAAAGTACAATGGAAGACCCTGTACTATATATCAGATTATATTTTGGTCCCTTCACTTAAAAAAATGCATAAACATACCAAAATTATCCTTCACTCAATCTTTTTACCCATATATATACTAATGTACACTTTTACATTGTTGACTTAGACTAAATGATTTGTGAAAATTTATTAAAAGTTACACATGTCATTTGTTTATTAGATTCTAAATAATAGCATAACGCACGAATTTAAAATTTAAATAAATTAAAGGGTAAAAATTATGTCTATAATTATTAAACTATTATTTATTAGATTTTTTAAAAGTTTTTTTTCATGTATTTGAAGGAATCTTAGAAGTCACATCTTCATATCCAGATGTCAAACGCACGTGCTGGACACGAGTACTTTATAAAAAATAAAGAATTCGAATAACTCAAGTATAAAAACTGTAATATTTTTCGTTTATTATTATTAAAATTATTATTATTATTATAAATATTATTATATAATTATTATTATTATTTATTATTAAATATATATATATATATATATATATATATTACAAATTACATCAGAAGCCCAACAAAAAAACCCATTTACAAAGCCCATTTACAGTTGGCCCAAACCAGAGGAAAACCCTAAAATATTTAGGGTTTTCAGCTAGGGTTTCATCATCCCAACAGCCAGCCGCCTCAACTCACAGCCGTTGGATCTGGCTTTGATCCAACGGCCCAGATGGTTCCAGCAAAGGAAGCCCTAGGGTTTCCTAACCCTAGGTTATCATCCGCCGCCTCCAGAAGTCCTCAGCCGTCGCCGTTGATTCCAGAAGGCCACACGTCCGTTGCCGACACTCCACCAGTGCCACGAAGCCACCTCGAAGAAGCCTCCAGAAGCTTTGTTGCCACAACACCGACCGTCCATGTCGAGCTCTATGGTGAGTCACCACATAGCTCGGTGACTCACCAAACTCCTTTCCTTTAACCGGTCCGATGAGCGTCTTGATGATGGGTATAAAGCCATCGACCACCTGCGAAAGAAAAGGGACAGCCACAAAAAACAGAAGGGAAAACACAGACAGAAACGAAAAGAGAGCACAGCAAACAGAAACGAGACACCACGAGAAGAAAAACTACCAACGATCTCAGTCAACGACGAACCAGTATAAAAAAAAAGGGGAAAAGAGAAGAGAAGAGAAGAGAAGAGAGAGCTTACTTTGTCATCGGAGGCACTCGAAACATCACCGGAAACCTTCGGATTTCGAAGGTAAAATCTTAGATCTAGGAATTTCTAAGGATTTTTAGGATAAATAGAGGCCGTATTCGACCTTAGGATGTAGAGATCTACGGTTTGGGCTAATTTTCCTAACTCCGGCCACCGTTTCACGGTGGCCGGCAGTGGTGGTCGATGGTAGAGTAAGGCTGCCGGTCGCTGGTCGGCCAGCCTCCGGCGGGAAGAAGGAAGAGAGAGGGCAGAGAGATTTCTGATATCTCTCTTTAAGAGAGAAAATGAGAAAGCAGAAATGAGGAAGCTTGGCCCTTCGGGCCAGGCGTTTAGGGTATTTATACCCCTTCCCAAACGACGCCATTTTGGGGAGGGGTATCTGTGTAATTTCATAATGGTAAAACCCTTTCCGCAGCCATCCTAATTTGTAATCCTTACATTTTAGTCACTAAATCAATTTATAATCCTTTTAATTCGGTTCTTTAATTTAATTTTATATTATTTTAGTCATTTCCAGCATAATTACATACTTTAGGGTAAATAACCGATTTAATCCCTTATAATTTTATTAATTTATATTTATATCCCAAATTAATTAATTAGGTTAAATTACACTATTAACCATTATCTTTCATAATATTTCGAATTATTATCTTTATTTTTGATACTTTATATTTAGTTTTATAATTTTAATTTCTTTTATTTTGATCATTATTTAATTACAATATTATTTGGTTATCACTTTTATATTTTAATTATGTCTTTAATTATTATTTTATTATTATTTTAGTCTTATAAATATATTTATATTAAATATTATAAAAATTATAATTTATTTAAATCATTTTTATGAAAAATTATTACATTTTTAATATTTATTTTATTTATTAATATCGAAGAAAAGAGCTGTCTTAAAGTACCTAGAAGTTCTTTTCTAATATTCTTAAATAAACAAATATCCTGTTTTTATAAATTATATATTAATTTTTTTTTTAGAAAAAAATGTTTTTTTAGTTATTTATTTATTAATATCGAAGAAAAGAGCTGTCTTAAAGCACCTAGAAGCTCTTTTCTGATATTTCTAAATAAATAAATATTTTATTTATACATATTAATATATTTTCTTTAAATTATTTGAAATAACATAATTATGAATTAAATATATCTTTGAATTTTTAAATTTAAAATAATAGAGACAATTTATAATTAAAAAGTACCAATTTTGGGCGTTGTAGGGGTGCTAATCCTTCCCTAAACGTAACCGACCACGAATCCCTTTTATTATTAAAAAGAATGATTTTTTGGTTAAAATGCAGATCAATTTATCTTTTAATCGATGTTTTCTTAAAAACTCTTTTAAAAGATGATTTTTTAGGTATTCGACCTACCTGACCCAAAAGGCCGATGGCGACTCCCAAATTATTTAAAAAAAAACCATTTATTCATATCACTTTTCCCGCCATGTAAAAAATTCGTGCCCGGACGAAAACCGGTTACGACAGCTTGGCGACTCCGCTGGGGATCTGTCAAACTTTAAAATCAATTATAAATTGTCTCTATTAATTATAAATTAAAAATTCATATATTTAATTTATAATTCTTTCTTTTCAAATTTTTTTATATATACTTATTATTTTCATAGTATTTATATATGTTATTTCATTTTATTTGCAAGCATTTTATTTCATTATTTATTTATCTGTTAGAGGTTTGAACATTTCTCCTCACACACAACAACACTTGCATTACATAAAGCTCTATAATTGAGTTTGTCTTTTTAAGTGGGAGTGAAAGCGACGTCTTCGTGAGAATTTATTCTCCGTGTCAGACCTAGCAAGTAACTTTCGGGGTTCATATGCTCTATGTCTTCGTGAGAGTTTATTCTCCGTGTCAGTCATAGAGAAATGTGTCCCCTCGAATTGAACTCGATCCGCTTAAAGTCTGTAATGGACTAGGATTGAGGGTTTTGACAGCCCAAGGGGGCATCAACAAGGACAGTTCGAGTACCTTTACTCCTAGAACTGAAAACCTGCATATAATAAACCTTAGAAACTCTCCCCGATCTGAAACCATTTCAGTAGGTATACACAAAGGAGAAATAAGCTCTAGCTTTTAATTTATTTTATTTCCTTTTCTTTTTCCTGAATAAATGCATGCGAACTAGAAATCATGCAGTTAGGTTAAATTTTCCAAACAAAGCATGGAACTAGAAAGCATGAGGTTAGGATTTATTATATACCATGATAAATAAATTTTTTTCTTTCAGTTAGTTGGTATTAACCATTTTATTTTTTTCTTATTTTCCCATGCATGTTATTTTTGCTCTAATTTGTTTATATTGTTTTCTTTTGTTTGCATTGCATGATCATGACCAAAAGGTGTTAACTGAAAAGACTGTTCATCAAATTGGAAAGAAATCATAAATGGACAAAAAGTTTTATGATCGAACAAAATATGACGCAACCGTGGAATGACATCCTGAGGGAACTCCAAGGATAGAGGAGAGCTATGCACCCAAAGATCGTATGCCCATTAAAGATCAAAAGGAGATACGTGAGATAAGAGAGCAGATGTCCAAGATGATGGATAGAATATCTGTTTTGGCCAAAAGAGAAGAGATTCCTGCACAGAAAGAGAGAAAGCTTAATAAAGATAATCCTGCAATTTCAGATATGCAAG